AAATTCAGAAAGAGAAAGTCCAAACAAGCAAGCATCAACTGAGGGGAGGATGGATACAAAAAGCCATCACAATCAGGAAGGAAAGAGGATGTCAAAAGCAAGGAAGAGGATGAAAAATATGGATCATGACTCAACAAACTCAGCAGTTGGTACAGAGGAACCTGCTGCCACAACAACTGAAAGTCATGATCATCGGAGGACGAGAGGAACAACTAGCTCAAACTGCTGGAGATCAAAAATAAAATACCAATTCAAAAAGGTACCATATTTATCCACAAAAACTCAGCAGTAGACTCATTCTTGGATTGAAAAAGGAATACTACTATTCTGTATAATCTTAAATTTATCAGGAGCATCCTGCTTGCAGCGTCCTAATAAAATAAAGATTACCTACAAAGATAGTTAGCATCCTATTTTTAATAATTACTGTCGAAAATTAGCCATAACAAGCTAAAAACAGTATCCTAGAATTATCCATTTCTGAGCTAAACAGAGCATGCAAAAAGAAGTGTCAGGACCATCACAAAACAGAAAGAATTCATGGTTACATGCAGCATGCACAATAGACACCTGGTAATCCAAGATGCTCACTCAACACCTTCATCAATGATATTCTGAGAGTTCATTAAATAAACATCATCTCACCCTCTTATCAAGGCACTTACCGCCTTAAAAGAAGAACCGGCCGCAAGAACATTTAATGAAAAACTTAAACCTACTTCAATTACCACCCACATCAGAATATGAAGAAGCGGCACACTTCATTTAAATACCTCCCCTCCTTAGAACTTACCTCACATTCGAAAAATCATCTTCTCTACTCAAAAACAAAACATCCTTAGTTCCAAATGGCTAACTCATCTAAACAAATCCCCGTGGGACTGACTCTCGAACCTCCAAATCAACAAAAATCCGCCACAACAGAAGAAACCGCTAAATTCGAAGCAATGATCCTATTCAACTCCTACAAAGGAGCTCTGGATAGAGAATTTCACAGGATGATGAGGTGGAGAAGCAGTAGATTTTCGCCACTCAATATTCTTTTCCTCGCCTACAACTTCATCCGAAATGAAGAAAGATACGCTCTTGAATGGATGCAGACGACAAACATTGAGTTTGCTCTCTGCAAAGAAATGATTGTCAGAGTCTACAAAACCAAACTTGAGATGATCAGACAAGAGGTGGCGAGACAGAATAAAAGAAAGATAGATGCAAGCTTTTGTGTTGGAGAACCATCAAACAGGAGAAGAAGAAATCAAGAGTATAATAGGAACCAGTAGATGCTACCAAAAGAGGGGGAAGAAAGGAGTCAAACATATTTTTGTCCTTTTAGTGTCTTATTATAAAAGTTTGACTTTTATCTTCTTTTGGCATCATCATAAAAGGGAGAAATTGTTAGACCCTTAGATTTTGATAAACAGTTTTGAAGATGCCAAAACTTTTCAAATGTCCCCCTTCTTCTGTAGTATTTAACTTAAATAGTTCTACATGATGTATTCCGGCAGTTGGCTAAGCTAGTGAAGTATTATTTGAAAGTGTCTTGTTTAAAGTGTCAATTATCAAATAAATTTAACTGGAAAATATAAAATGCAATAAGGTAATATTTTATTACCTTAAAAGGATTTCTTATAGACCTTACCAGTTAAATTTATTTGTTACATCAAATAACACAAAAAAAATTAGAACAAACTATTTATTAAACTGGAACACAAAATACAATAAGGTAATAATTTTTACCTTAATAGGATTTGTTATCCTACCAGTTAAATAAATAGTTTATGTTCTAAATACTAGCTAGAGTGACCGAAAGCCAAAAGTAAAATATTTTGGGTCAAGTAAATTATACCGGAAAAGTCAAAATGCAATAAGCTAATTTATTACCTAAAAAGGATATTTAAATCCTACCGGTGTATATTCAATTTATCACAAACGTTTTAATCCGTCACTAATTGAGAACAAATAAATGTATAATTTTTAAGACTAGTAAAATTAATACTGGAAAGTAAGAATGCAATAAGGAAAAATTCATTTACCTTAAAAGGATATTCGAATCCTACCAGTATAAATTTTATTAGACTCAAATATTAATTGTTCGATTTTTGTTATATCACCTCGTGATTATCCGGAGCCAATCAAAGGAATCCCAGCATGGAGAGAAATTAATGCAAAGACGTACAATATGGGATGTGCAGTCAACTTGAAGCCTATAAAGGGGAAAGCTACGGTGGCCAGGCAAACAAGACAAGAGAACTTATCGGCTCCAAAGAAGAAGACGAACACCAAGTTGTTATCTTCTGAAACAAAGATTCAACGTACAAGATTAATTCATCTCAACCAACGGATGAGATTAAACTACCGGAGACGCCTATAAATAAAGGCCGAAGCATGAGTTAGAAAATAAGTTCTTGAGTTCAGAAGCAGAGAAATCCTATAAGCATTCAAAGAATATCTAGCAAAAGAGAAAGTGCTTGATCATAACTTCACTCTCTGCTTTGACTCATGCTTCACTAAGCTCTTAGACTAGATCATCATTTTCATATTTTTAGAGCTTAGTTTTTAGTTGGAGACGAGAATTTTCTTGTAGTATACAAAGTGTTGTTGAACACTTCAGGAGGACAATTGTTCCCGGCCTGAGTGTGGTTAGATAGGTCATGAGTACCTTTTGATCCCCACTGGATTGAAAAAACTAAAGGATTGAGTACCTTGGAGTGGTGTTGTACTCCTCGTGAAAGACGTTCAATCTAGGCCAGAGTTGTCAAAGCTAGATTGGCACTAAGTGTACCGGGCTTAATACATTAGTGAAATCCATTTGAAATAGGATGAGACTGGATGTAGGAGGATTACACCACCTCTGAACCAGGATATATTATGTGTTGATTTACCTTCAGTCAACATAGCACACACCCAACACTTCTCAATAAAGAAATCATAGTTTGCTTAGGAACATCGCTACTAGAAGGTTTATCCTACTGCTTAATAACTCACCTTTTCTTGAGACATCTGTTTCACAAGAGCTTAGGAACATCACTACTAGAAGGTTTGTTTTGTGAGTTCTCAGAACACACTCCTCAAACGCAGCAGGTGCCTCAGCAGTTCCCTGACACTACCCAACTACTGAGACCTCTGCTCAAGCAAAACACCTTATTATTTCCAGCTCAGCATATATCCAGAAAGCCCTCATCATTCTGCATAAGGTCATATAATCATCTCTCCCAAACTCCTATTCTACACTGGCAGTTGCCTCAGCAGTTCCCTAACATTCAGGCAACTGCCAGGCCAACTGCTCACCGTTTAAAGTCCAAACATCATTCAAGTTAGAAAGTTGTCACACCCTAATCATCAAGAGGTCAAAGACTTCCGCTGTGCATCTATAAATCTCCCAAAAGAATTCAGATCAACTCATCTAGAAGGGAAAGTTCTTAAAGTTAAAAAAGTTTTAAAAGTCTATTCACCCCCGTCTAGACTTTTACCTCTATCCGGGACCATCAGCTATCTTAATAGTCTCTACATGGTTACATTAAGCAATATTACATACAAAAATGTCGTTTGTATTCACTCTTATACCCACTTTTATATCCACCATATTTGTGCAAGTTTTTTTGTCTTTAGATTCCGTTCACAAACAAAATATGTATGTGTAAATTTTGTATATAAAAAATAAGACATGTTATGTCTATGAACCGCATTCACAGAAAAACTTTCATAGACATAGTTTACATAAGGTGAATATATAAAGGTGAGATGATGGAGGTCTTGGATTCAATTCCCACCAAGGGGAGATGAGGGAGGTCTTGCTCCCAATGATTCTTCCTACCTTCACGGAGTTTCTCAGCGGCTGAGAAGGGAGAGGATGGTAATGAAGGTAGTGAGTTCGTGGGGTGGGAGGAGCAGCCTAAAAGGTGATGTAAGTCCTGCTGGATTCGTCCTTTGTAGCAAGTACTGACGAGGCTGGCTGTGATCAGATCCGGATTTAACTGTATAGGGGCTTTGGAGGGTACTTCATAGACTCCAGTATTATGGGAGTATAAGCCCGCCTGGATTATAAAAAAAAAGAATATATAAAGGTGGTACAACATACTCCGTATTAATGCGCAAATTATACTGTGGGATCGGTGCACCATGCGCATGGTGTACCGATCCCAAAACTGCAGCGTTTTAGTACTCATTAAAACAGAGAGCGGACAAATTCTATAACCTTCTCCGGCATACGCTTCATCCCTGCGGCCAAAATTCAATTCCTTTTCTGATACAAATCTTCGTCGCTGGACCTCTATGGTGAACCGAATTTAATATACGTCGTGCAATCAGGAAGGGAGGTGTCAGCCTCAAGTCCTTAACTTATTAGAATCAAGAATAAAGCCAACCGTGTAGCAAACCCTATTTAAGATAATCTGGTATGCTAGCCATGACTAGATGATGGAGACAAATAAGAGACTTCTCCATCTCCGACCGTGCTTGTTACCGGTTGAAGATGAGAGGTTTGTGAAATAGAAGATCGAATCTGTTTGGGAGTGGATCAGTTACATTTGATAATACATTGAGTTACATCTTTTTAGAAGTGAGTTACATCTTTTAATACGCGAGTTACATTTGTATACACCTAAATTACATTTGTCATCTACGTGAGTTACATTTGTAATAATATGAGTTACATCTTTTTACACGTAAATGTACATATTTTTACATGTAGAGTTACATATTTATACACACGAGTTGCATTTATCCTGACTGGACGTGAGTTACATATTTCTACACGTAAAATTACATATTTTACATAGGTTAATATAATAGTTCAATAATATGTTAAAATTACATAGGCAATATTGGTCTCATTTGAAGGATCATGAAAAATAAAAAATATTGATATAAATTTTATAAAAATCGAATCAAAAATAAAAAAGTTATTACCATTTTTTTTAAAAAATCGATATTAATGTATACCGGTCACAGCGTATATGAACTGGTATTAATGTATTCTAACGTTTGTGCCTGACCCACGTTGGGTCTCCATCCCTATGCGGCGCCACTGTTGCAGTCTGTTCCAAAGTATAGAAGAGCCCCCAAACCACTCTCTCTCCGTGTCTTTCTTCAATCCCATCAATCAAGGCTAGACTAGCTCACACACCCTCCAGCCTCTCTTATTTTTCTTCTAGCTCTACTCTCTCTCTCTCTCTCTCTCTCTCTCTCTCAGGTATGAGAAAACTGAAACCAGAATTAGATTTTAATTTTCTTTGGTATTCCGCTAACGGGTCTTTGCGTTTAGAGCAGTTGTTTATTTGTTAGTTTGTTCTTTGCGCTCTTCATTCAAGATCGTTTCTTTATGTCTTTTTTATCAATCTTTCTTGTACTGGGTGTCTTTGTAAACTCGGCTATTTAATTATCATCAATTGTTAATTTATTGCAGACCTGGACCCTTGCATTTCTTGGTTTGGGGTTAATTTGGGAAGTAAATTGGGGGTTGATTTTCTATTTCTTTTACTCTTAGAATTCATATGCTCTGGTACTTTAGTAGCAAAATTAATTGTTTTGTAGTCTTTTTTGTTGTTGAATATTTTTCCTTTCATATATTCTATTGGAACAAACATGTCAGTTTAACTTCTTGGATCTACTGAGTAGATACCACTATTGGCTGGTATGTCTATGTGAGTATGTTAACCCTATGAAAAAATTTACAATAAATCCTTATGGCTGGAATATATAGCCATGACTGTGGTCGAAATAAGAATTGGTGGTAGTAAGTAGTGAATTATGCACTACTAGTGTGCTAAAAGAGATACTCCGTATTTAATGCATCATATTATTGGAGAAATGTCATTTGCAGTAAAAAAATATGGCTTGATTGGTGCACTTTAGCATTGCTCAAGCTTTGAGATTTACTACTCTTGGCTATTTTTCTTTGTAAATACATATACTGTAAAAGTTCACCTCATAATTTTACCTATGTATTGCAAGCCTTAAAATTTTTCCTTATTGTGCTTCTAGTTAATTAGACAATTGAGTATCTTATTGCACTTCTTCCTGATTTTTGCATTTTGATTCTGGATTTCTTGTTTGCAGCAATAATTTCTAATAGCTCCAAACAGTCAAACTATATGTAGTTTGGAACTCCCAAAGCAAACCAAGGTGGGAAATTTTATGTTTTATATTTATCTCAGAGGAGTAACAATGGAGAAAAAACAACTAAATTTCAATGCCCCGCTCATATCAGTAAGGAGAATGTCATCAATTGTATCTCAACCCGAAGAAATAATTCGGAAGACGATTGGCAAGACACTACCAAACAGACAACACTCTCTTCCTGCCCCAAAAACAAAAAATGAGTTGACCAAACCTGCTGCAGTTCCCTTTGTATGGGAACATACTCCCGGACAGAGGAGATCAGGAAATGAAAGAAAAACATATGCATATGAAGAGCCTTGTTCCACTACCCCAATGCTTCCCCCGGGCCGGACGACCCAAGATTCTGTAAGATTCTATTCGGGCGAAAGGCCACGTGGACAAAACCTCTACAAGTACCATGCAGAGTCTCTTCCATGGAATGATCATGCCGCTTTATTGGAAACCTTGGTTGATAGTATGTACTGCTCCAAAGGGGGATCTGAACCGGAATTCCGGGAGCACTCTCGTTCTGATTCTGATTCATATGGTATGCGATCACCGTCAGAATCATTGTCATTGAGTTGCGGTATGAGTGGATTAAGTGGATATCAAGGTCTCGATGTGAAACCTTCTGGAACGTTCTCTGTTGACTTGCAGACCCGAGAATTTATGATTAACCGGTTCTTACCTGCAGCAAAGGCCGTGGCTTTGAAAAACCCTCAGTATGTACCGAAAAAGGAGGAACTTTTGGTCAATGAAGAACTTAAGGTTTCCCCAATAGAAAGAAAGCCTCCTCATAATATGCCTCCACGTTATAGTGACTTCACAGAAGATGATGATAGTGAGACTGAAGATGAAAAAGTTACTACTACACCTACTGCTAAGAAGCAGAAGCAGTGGGGTAGATCTTGGAAGATTTTCCCCTGGCTTTGTGTGAAGAAATCTTTGTGTCTTTTAAATCGTTTGCCAGGAATAAAAACTATAATTCAAACTCCAGCTCATGCCCCTCCACTTCCTCCTACAGACATGAAGAGGTTAGCTAGGAATGCATATAGTGGACCCCTTAATGTGGGCAGAAAAGCTTATAGCGGACCTCTCGACAAGGTAGAAAATGCCATTATTCGTCTGCTTTAGCATATGGGATCCCCTACCTCTGTTCTGAACCCGTATTCCATCTGGTTCTCCGACCATTGTAGTGGTGCTGTGCTGCCCATATGTACCTCCGGCGCATGCTTCACCATGACTAATATAAATACACAATGGATGGAATACGGTTCTGGAATAATGATCACATCCCCACGTTTCTTTGTTATCACCAGTCACCTCGATTCCTACTATGTTGTGGTCAGTTGCATGGAATTTAGACTCCCTTTAGTGTAGCTCTTATTCTGTCTCTCCTTGGGATTAGCAGAATAAGTAGCTTTGGCTTATGTAACTGAAACTGATTTTTTTTTTGAAGAGTTTAAAAATTCAGCCATTTCAGCTAAATAAATCTTAAACACGGCTTTATGGTGTAGAATTTTGCGTCTGTCTCTTCCATCTCATCATCTTCTATGGTCCATTTGGAACCTGGAAACACTAGTCAAACAAAATGCGGAGAAAATTGCAGTGCATATTTTGAAGGAAAGTTTTTTGGAGGAGAAATGGATAATTGGTTTAAAGTCAATGAAATCCATTTAAGATATTTGTTCAAACTTATGCTATTGATGTATTTCTATTATATAAAGAAGGTTAAGAAATCTAAATGTCTGAATCGTCAGCAAAGCTCTGATCTGACAAAAAAATTATCTGCAAAAAATTGTAATCAAACTCAATTTCCATTCACACTTTGCGAGGTAAAACTGAAAATTTAAAAACCACCCTCCGTCCTTGTTGTTCCTATATTTATCCTTCCAACTTCACGGGTTCCAACCACAGCTTTACTGAATACATGTATGTATGCAGCAAGTGTGTGATGCCATGTACAACAAACGGCGGTTCCATTCCGGAGCTCTATCGGGAGAGCTATACAAGTGTAATGGTGATGATAGAAGGATGTCTTATTCTAGAGATTCACATGGACTGTCCCCAAACAGGCATTCCAGAAGTGGTGCAATATCTCCATACCGAAATGTAACTCCTCGGTCACCTTTCAACGAAGGCACTAAGTTCCTAGGAGTGCCAAAAGAAGAAGCCAAGACGGCGAGCGGTTATCTTCAAGATGCTTCTAGAAAGAGCACAGTAATGACAACCTCAGACGAGAAAACCTTGTACGTAGATTCTGTTCAAAAGGTTCCAAGCTCAATGGTTGCTGCCGTATCTGCACGGAGCAAATCGAAGCTTATAGGAAATGCAACTAAAGGCAAGAAGGATGATCACTTGATGAGAGATGATGATGACAAATGCGAAGTTACTACTACTACGACTACTCCAGATTCACCTCTTCCCCCACCCTTACCCAAGATGCCTTCTGAGTCATGGCTTTGGCGCCGCACATTACCTCCTATTCCTTTGCAGAATGTAAAGAATCAGAGATCAAAGTCTTCTAATAAGGCTGTTCCTTCCAAGTGGGAGAGCATTGTGAAATCTTCCTTTTTACATCGCGATCATGCCCGCTATTCTGAGGTATTTCCCCCCTACTTATGCCTTAATCGTGTTTTCCCTCCACAAATATAACATTTTTATTTTTTGAAGAATCTGTAGCATTATGTTGGAAAAATGGTTTACAAATTTATATTTTGTTTACTTTGGAGCTAAAATATTTAAGGACCTACTTCTCATAATTAATGGGACTAAGTCCTAACATATTGTACTCCGTAAGATGAACGTTTCGATATATTATTTGTAGAAAACCATTTTGATATGAATGAGAAATTGTCTCCCAAAGTTCTCTCCGGAACAAGATGTGTGTAAGACTTGTCCCAAACCGAAAATCCTAAGCAATATTGAAGGCTTTTTATAAGCCAATTGTTGATATTGGCTTGGGCCCCAAGGCGCACCCAAGTTTTGTAAGGAGGGAAGACTCGCACACGGTGAGCGTGAAAATTACACTTCACGTGCGCCGCCGTCTGTCCGTCCGGGTTAGGTTGGGGTTTCGGGTACGGGTGGGTACCCGCGTGGCTCCAAGACGTAAACATTGTTTTTGTGTAAATTAATTTCGGATATACATGTCATTTATGAGAAAGGTTGTCACCTTTCTAAATAGGTGCTTTTTAGGATAGTCTCCTGGTCAGAGAACTATTTATATCCCAAATAGGCTCATGCGTTTTACATATAAGAATAAGTCCGAAAATAAAATTTAGTTTTCTTCATCTTCCTCATCCAAACTCCACCACTTCAGTGCATCGTTTGGTTCGTAAATGTCCTTTGGGAACAAAAAACCGTTCTACCCTGGGAGACAATTGCTGCGGGCAAATTTGTCTTAAGGAGACAACAAGCATTTATTGGGCTCGGTTCGACCCTCTTCACTTCCATACACTTCTCTTTTATCTTAATTATTTATTTTAATTATTTTTTGCAGATTTTCGAGATACACAAATAACACATTATTCCTTTTGCTATTCATCCCTGAAATTTCTTTGTTCTCTCTTTAGTCCTACATCAACCTGTGTCCTAAAGAAAAATCCCTAATTGACAAAAAGAAAGAAGGGGTTACATCCTGAAGTAGCTTATATAGGCCGGTTCCCTAACATTCTGTGAGGATGACAGCACTAGTCAGTAGTGTCTTTGGGCAGGTCACTTTAACAAAAAAATTCCAAACAAGTGATGTAGGTGCTGGGACGAAAAACATGTTTGATGCTTTTATTTACTTTTATATAGAAATAGCATGGATGAAAGAGTAAGCGCATTAATATGATTGTGCTACTTTTCTTCTCTTCTTCTCATTTGGGTGGTGGTGCTTTTAATCACTGAACAGGAGCTTATTCCACCGACTGCTCGCCAACAACGCAAAAGAGTTTAGAAGAAGAAGCAGCAGCAGAATGGCTCCCCACCTTTCAAGAATTCGAGTGTGTTTACTTACTTCCATTAGTATATATGATGGTATTATTGTATAGTTTTTCTGTCCCCCAATACATGAGATCTATCTAACACTCTTCACTTTACCCCCACCCACCAGGTGTTTTTCCCTCTACGATCTTTTTTTAGTGAGGGTACACCAGGAATGGATTTTTTATTTGTCCATTTATTGTGAGATGAGAAAAGGCAGAGTTCACTCAGTGTATGAACGAACATATGTGTATAACTACTGTCTGCATATGGCTGCTGGATTGGCCCATGTCGGCTGCTGTATTCATTTAATTTGTACAAGTTAAAATGGCTGTGAAAGATATGCCAAAATTATATAGTAGCTGCTGTCCTTTATATGGAGTGTACTGTATTACTTTTTGAATAATACAACAATGCATATATTTACTCGTGTTTGAACTTTTATAGAGTTTTTCTTCAAATGTTACTCAAAAGAAACACTATGGATGAAAATATGATTAAAGTTACTATCAGTATATCATGGTTATGGTTATCATACTGTAAAATTAAACATGCTTATGAGCACTAGAGTTACTATTATTGTACTCTAGGCATGGATTCGGGCCCGGTCGGCTCGCCGGTTTGTGAATGATGGGCCTGGGACCGGCCTGAGGTAAAGGCGGTTCCGGTTCGGGCCGGGCCACCCACCCGGATCACGGGTCGGGCCACCCGTTGGGCTGGGCCGGGCCGGTAAATAGTTTTTTTTTATAATTTATACTTTATAGTTTTATAAAAATGTGTATAAAAATATTAGAAAATGTGGAGATTGGAGAAGATGTGTATAAAAATGTTAGAAAATAGGAGTATTTATAGAAATTTTTGTATCCCACCCCCACCCCCAATGACTCTATTGATTCAAATTTCAAACAAGTCCCAACGGTTATATAGCCGTTTGGGGCCTTTGATTTATTTATTTTTTGTTTATTTTAGTTTGAATAAATTACATAATGTAAAATTAATTAATTAATTTTCTGAGTTCAGTAAAAAACGCTATATAAAAAAATGAACGTATATTTATTTGAAACATGAACTACAAGTTTACAAGTTACAATTGATGAATTGAAGGTAAAATTAAAACATGAAATAGTGAAATACTAATCAATTAGAATCTCCGTAATAGGTAGAGCCACCCTCGGTCGTAGATTCATCCATAAAGTGTTGGGATGAGGTGATGTCAATTTCTTGAGCTTTACGGGTCGTCTTCAACCAATCGTGGTAGCATATAAGCATCTCAAGAGATTTTGCGCTCATCCTCGTTCTACATTGCATTAGGACATTGCCGGCCGAACTAAATTCTTGTTCGACGGCAATTGTTGAAACCGGCATTGATAGCCATCTTTGCTAAAATCGGGAACATTCTTTCTTTTCTCTTCCCCCAGTTTAGAACGTCAAAGTCATCATCTTCTTCAAAATCAACATAATATGTTAAATACAAAGAAATGTCATTAATTGTGCTTTGTTGAGTAGCGGGTGTCGTTTTAGTTTTTTAATAAGATTGGCAAATGTAGATTTCAAAATTGAGTTTTCTTTAGATGAAGAGGTTTGTGTCGGGGGAGGGGGCGCGTTGCCATATTGTGCATGAAACTCATTAAATAATGCATAAAATATATCACTAACCTCATTGTATTCTTTTTTCGGATCAATTGGGTTGTCGTCATACATTGGCATTGGACAAAAAAAAACAGCATAATAATAATTCAAACATTCTTCTAAAGAACCAAGTCTAAAACGAGGATCGAGAACAAATGCAATACCATAAATATGCGGAATATGTGAATAATATTTTTAAAACTTTTCCTTCATAAAACCAGCAAAATAACTCACATAATCGGCATTCTCAAAATTTGAAAAAGCACCGGCGAGATTAACAGCTTCACGAATAAATTGGTTTGAGGTAGGTTTATAAACATGACTAAAAGTTTCAGTTGCATTATTAAAATATACCAAAGCATTACAAATTTTTTCGCAGGTGTCGACCTCAGCCGAGTTTATAATATAGTTAACATATTGTTTCATAAAAGCAGGAAAATGTTGTTTATATCTAAGAAGAACTGCAATTAACTTTTAAGTACTATTCCAACGAATAGACAAATCTTTAGGAAAAGCCACATATTTTTCACCTCTTTCAATCAAATAATCATGCCGTTTTTTCCTGAGTTGATCATTACCCCAAATACGTCTAATCCCCTCTGACTATCTCCAAAGATGCTCCTAACGCTTTTAGACCATCTTGCACACATAAATTAATAACATGACATGCACATCGTTGATGAAAAAATCTACTCATCAAAGAAGTAGAACCACACAATTCACGCAATCTAGAAATAGCAGCAATATTATTAGAAGCATTATCAAAACCAATAGCAAATACCTTATCAACTAAATTATTCTCAATTAAAATACGCTCAATCAAAATATAAATATGTTCAGCGGTGTGATGATCATTAAATTCATGAAAAGCAAGAACACGTTTATGCATATTCCAATCATTATCAATATAATGTACAGTCAAACCCAAATAATGTAAATTATGATAAATATCCTCCCATATGTCAGAACATACAGTAACACGCCCATCAAAGTTTGCAAAATAATTTTGTAATCTTACCTTTTCCGCACCATAAAGCCTTGAAATTTCTTTCTTAACCGTTTTGCGACTATAACCTCTATATTGAGGATTTAAACAAGTTTGTGAATAATCACGAAAAGCAAGACTTTCAGAAAACAAATAAGGCAAATTTTCTTCAACAAGTAAGTTAGCCATACCTGTCAAATTTTGTGCATCATTGTATGAGAAATTACCAAAAGGTTGTTGATTATTTGCAAATCTCGATATTTGAGTTTGCTTCCCCGTTCCGCCGCCTAATTTTGCATACTCCACCGGGTGTTTGGCTTTAAGATGCCTTGTGGCATATCCGTATCCGCCGGAAATCCCCAAGCTATAAATTTTCTTGCACCACTTGCAAGTTGCGTTCCAATTCCCGGTGTTCGGTGCCTTCCACTTATCAAAATTATTTTGCATTAGTTCAGATCTACTTTTTTTCGTACCTGTTTGGGATGAGGCAGGCTCGTCGGCATCGTGGCTGCCGCCACCCTCCTCCGCGTCGCCATCGTGGCTCTCCGGAATTACTTCCTCCACATCGTCGTCCTCGAGCTCTTCTTCGTCAATGGTCCTCGACTGGTCTTGGAAAAACCGACTATTATGTCGGTGCAATTCTTGTTCAAGTTGTTCGTCGGTCATGTCATCCCCATCCCTCCTTGCATAACCTGTATCAAAATCATCTCGGCTTTGAGATGAAAAGCCAATATGTGATTTACCTTTGCGGGATTTCTTTCTCGCAAGCTCGTTCATTCGGTTGCGCTCGAGGTTACCCATATCAATCGAATATCTACCACCTTCCATCTTAAAAATGTAACTGATGGATTATATGGTATCCAAACTATAATAAAATGGAGAGATTTGAGCTTAATAATGTGGAGAAGAAGATGAATAGTAGTGATGTGTATTAGAGTTGTGTTGAGTTATAAGCTCCAAAAGGAGTATAAATAGAGAAATAATGGGCTGGGCCGCTAATATGGACCCGATAGGCCCAACTACATAAAAGACTAATCTAGTACATACAGACGATATATGAACAATACAATAAAACAAAAGACATTCGATAAGCGTGTGTGGGCCGCTGTCCAAGCCCAATAGTCGTGAGACCCGGGGGTCCGAGTCTATATACTCCATCAGGAGTCCCCCACTCCCTGAGTCGAGAGTACTCGAGGCGAAAGGGAGTAGAACTGTGTGCTGATCTATCATCGTCTGGGGAGTAAACTTCGTGAAAAAATTTGAATTTCTGCTTCTTTGGTTAACGGAGGCGCTAAGTCCCCCGCTCCTCCAGTCCCCCACTCCTTGAGGTGAATGTAGTGAGGTGAAGAGGAGTAGAATGGTGCATGTCTTGTGATGTCTTCAATAGGGGGCCGAGGGTCGACACCTTTTGTCCACGTTGGGGAGATGCCTCGTTAAAAACCTCATTAGGAAAAAACCCAGTGGGAAAAAATCCTAATGAGGGAAAAAGAGTACACCGGATGCCCCCAAAATGAAGCAAAAGGGGTGAGCCCTTCGACCTAGGTGTGGAGCTGCAACGGTGTCCGTCTCCTGAGGGGATGGCCGAGACCAGTCTCTAGATGTGAGTAGCTCAGCATGATAAGTAGTCCCAGTCATCAAATAAAGATGACTAAGAGATAGGTCGAGTGACCGTCCATAATATGATGTCCGGGTCATCAAATAAAGTGACCGAGACGTGTGGCCGAAAGGTCTATAAGAAGTCCAAGCCATCAAATAAAGATGACCATGAGAGATGGCTAAGTGGCCGGTATGATGTCATCATATAGTTGCACCTATGCATTCAAATAAAATTGTTATAATTTCTTGAGCTTATAATTTGCTATTGGATTTGGGCCTATATTAAGCGGCCTCAAATTTCCAAGCTAGGGCTCAAGCTAGATTTCTATGCTTAGTTGAGCGTGACACGCATAAAGGATTGAACCTACCGCCAAGGGATTGCAGTTCATTTCCGATAGCTAGAGGGCACACATAACTCATACAAAACATAGAAATTAAAGTATGTATTAGATAACATTTGGATTGGGAGCTTACTATCCACACTCGTTTCATAAGTCCGGTGTACGCGAGTGCTCGGAATTTCATAAGTCCGTTTTTTCAATGTCAAAAAATACACTCTATTTAAAAAAATAATGATAATAAATTAATAATCTAGCTCAACTTGTCACTCAAGTTCGTAGCTGGGATCCGCTAGACATTATTTACGGGTCTTTTCACGGATGACTCGCCCCTTGAGATTGAAGTTTGATGCTATATGTAAGGAATATTTGTATTTTAGATTTTGATGATGCTAGATGAATTAGGACTTTAGAGTACCCCTATTTAGACTTAATGTATTAGAATTTTCATTTGTAAAGTGTAATCGACTTGGCAGAATGTTTTTAGAGCAGAAGACCTTCTGAGCAGAAGGGCTCCAAGAGCAGAAGACCCTTCTAAGGCATTGTTGAACAGAGGACCTTTGGTTCTCTGCTCCAGAACAGAAGACCTCAGGGTCTCTGTTAACCTTTATTCTGACAGAAACCCTCCTGGTTCTCTGTTGGATATACTCTCAACAGAAGTGCTCCAGACCCTCTCTGATCAACTCTCAGTTAAAGACACCAGAAGGTCTGACACTTAGAAGAATTCCACAAAGCCGGGAAATCAACTGAAAGATTCCTTCAACGGCTAGGAGTATTGAACGGAAAAGCTACAGTGCCCGCATTAAATGCCCATTTAATGCTCCCCATGCTCCGTAGAGTAATTGCAGATGATTGGCCGCAATGTCAGGATTACTTTATCCCAAAATAGTAACCCGCCAACTTTACCGGGTCCTACTGGTCAAGTCAACTGCTCGTGCATTAAAT